GCAACCCCATTTTTCCTTGTCTTTTCATCTCTGAAGTAATATATCATATGATCATCTGACTCAAAATGCCCCATGCTGGTCCATCTCATCTCTCCAATGCCTAGTATGTCAATATTTATGTGTTCCATTTCTTCCTTAACAGTATCTGATTTTCCTACATTCATGGTTCTCACATTCCATGTTCCAATCACTAGTGTCTACTTACAACTGTTTTTCCTTTGTATTTTTATACTCGAAAACTCCACCTCAGTTGCCCTTTCTGTTATTCTTTTGTACAGGGTTTTTAGAGGCCTGCTATTTTGGAAGTGGATGGCCAATCCTTCTTCCTAGTCTGTTTTAATCTGAATGTTCATATTTAGAGAAGTATCTAACAGACAAGCATTTTATAGAAAAGTGAAAGATATATCCCTTATTCTGAAATTAACCATCAGTTTCAGTGTTGTCCCTGCCCTTGGCAAAAGTGTTTTGACCTGCTCCACCATCCATCAGGATACCCATCCACTTCTACCCACTCCCTTCAACATCTGTCTCCCGTTGTTTAGCCTCTTAATCTGATAGCTTTTATCTGAAGCTTCCTTGGCTTCTGTGATTCCAGACACGTCAACTGCTGACAGTTTCTTATGCTGTGACCAGTGTCTCTTAAGTTTAGTGGTAATGTTCCCCAAGCGAAGGTGATGTGTCCTGTATAACTGGTGTGTAGATCACGCAGCCTTGGGCCTTCACGTTTACCTGTGGAGTAGGCGGGCATTTTCATGCCCATTGTGCTGTCCTGCTTCTCCGCCTGTAAAGATTTTTTTTGAGTGGCAGGATAAATGAAAAAAAAATCCGTGGGATTCTTATACAAAGGAAACTAAGAAAACAATACCATTTTTAATAGTCAGCCACAAATTGAGATACTTAGAAAGAAACCTAACTAGAGGCACAAAAGTTTAAGTTTTTAAGTTTCCTTTATAAAGAAAATTACACACACATAAAACTACAAAGCACTACTGTGAGAAACTAAGAGAAATAAATAGGAACATGTTCCCTGTTCATGGATAGGATGGTTTAATATAATGAAAATAACAATCCTACCAAAAGCAATCTCTATGCTTAATGCAACAACAGTACTTTTTCAAAGAGACAGAAAAGGCAGTTTGCAAGTTTATTTGGAGAGGAAAGAGACTCTGAATGACAAAGAAAGCACTTCTGAAAAACAAAAATGAAGTGGGAAGTGTAGTACTCCCTGACAACTATATTAACCAAAACAATATGGTACTGGTACAATGACAGATACTTAGACCAATGAAACTGAATCAAGAACCCAGAAATTAACCTATCTATATCCATACATTTTCAGTCTGTATGCAGAACAGATTGTCCAGAAGGTTGGCCTCTATGAGGAGAAATGTGGCATCAGGATAGAAGGAAGACTCAACAATCTCAATTATGAAGATGACACAACCCTGCTTGCTGAAACTAAGGAAGACCTGAAGCACTTGCTGCAGAAGGTCAAGAACTGCAGCTCTCAATATGGATTGAAAATCAACATCAAGAAAACAAAGTTACTCACCATTGGGTTGATTGGAAGCATCATGACAAATGGTGAAGTGATTGAAATTGTTAACAGCTTTACTCTGCTTGGCTCCACAACCTTGGTACCATCAGCCAGGAAATTAAAGGACATATTGTGATGGGAAAGTCTACTATCAGAGACCTCTCTAAAGTACTGAAGAACAGTGATGTCATTCTAGATACTTAGGTGCTTCTAATACCAGCCATAGTCTTTGCAATCATTTGCTATGCATCAGAGAGCTGGACAGTGACTAAGGATCATAGAAGGAGAATTGATGCCTTTGAGCTATGGTGTTGGAGAATAGTATTGAATATACCATGGACTGCAAAGAGAATGAACAGGTTCATCCTGGAGAGGGTGAAACCAGGCTGCTTCTTGGAGGCAAGGATTCAGAATCTTTGTCTGACATACTTTAGACATGTTGCAAGGAGGAACTAGTCCTTAGAGAGGGAAGTTATGCTTGAGAGGATAGAGGGACAGCACAGGAGAAGAAGACCCTC